TAAGGACCAAAGGATGGCGGTCCGGGGAAGGCAGCAACTGGCCCCCCCACCAGAACTGACCACAGTGGAGGCCACATCCCCACAGGGCAAAGGCCACAAGTGGGAAGAAAAGCAGCACGGTTTGCAAGATAGCAGTTTCCCAGGCTTTTTGGAACAATTGAACCACATCTGGCATTATAACTTTGTGTATATTTAAGGTGAATGCATGTTAATGACACATTTGTTTACTTAATAGGATTGGCATTATGGCTCTAGAGAGCACCTCTATCACGTGACATAATTATCCTTTCCCTTTAGTAGTTGAGATAATTAAGTTCTAGACTGTAGCAAGTTTGCTAATTATGATACGGTATTGATTTGCCTTCATTTTACTGTGCGCTAGATGTCTAAAGCTTATTTTCTACTGGCGGTTTTTCCCCTTAAATGACATGTGTCCTATCTCTCCAGCCCTGGCCCTTCTGGCCAGCATTGCACTGTTCCATGGGGATCCCCAGAACGAAGGTCACATAGGCTTTGGGTTTTAACTTGCAGCAGAGCAGAAGACATCTGGGGTCCAGGGCGCCTGCTCCCCACTCACAAGTGGGACTCCAGTGCCACCTAGTGGGAAACCGGGGACACAGCTCATTGCTGTGTCTCAGCTATGAAGTGGGTGCATCAAACTTGTGCTCTTAGTAACTACAACCAACAGTCGCTGAGCTCAGCCTGTCCCAGGCACTGTTCTAAGAGCTTTACATGTATGAATGAATCCTAAACAGTAGAAATAATAAACACATAAAATGAAGATAAGGCATTACATGGATACTGCATAAACTACGATTACGCTCGACACTGGGTCTTTCTCTTTTGCCTACTACATTAATTCTTATAAATAAATGTTTATTTATTTTTGAGAGAGAGACAGAGTGTGAGCAGGGGAGGAGAACAGAGACAGAGGAGACACAGAATCCAAAGCAGGTTCCAGGCTCTGAGCTGTCAGCACAGAGCCCGATGCAGGGCTCAAACTCACGAACCGTGAGATCGTGACCTGAGCTGAAGTTGGACATTTAACTGACTGAGCCACCCAGGCACCCCATACATTACTTTTTCAGGGTCTGCATTTTATGTAGCCTGCTCAGATTCCTTCAGTCTGTAACTGTCTGATCTTCCTCTTAGCTTAATCGCTTTACTGTTTTTGTCCCAGCCTTCCGAAGGCCCAGAGAAGTGATAGCATATTGAACACCTACAATCTTCTAGAAGTTACATGTGCATTTTTCTCAGTACATCTGCATAACCACCCTGCGGATGGCAATATACTCCTGCATTTACTGGGAGGACACTGAACTTTAGAGCTGGGGGACCAGTTGTACTTTTTCTGCGTCTGATGACCTGTTTTTGTAAATCTCTCTAGGGGAACTCCCCTTTACCACCTGCTGGTTGACTTCTGACAGTTGCCTGGGTGCCAAACATGCCCCAGACTTTCAGAAATACTCAGGACCAAGTCGTCTTCAAGCTGCCCACAGGGATGAATTTCTCCCCTTGACCTGGTTGGGAGCCCTCTGGGTCAGCAGCCTCCCTCTGACTTGCCTTTGTTCTCACGCCCCAGTCAGAGGGTTCCCTGCGTCTGTCCAGGTAGAGGTCATCGCAGGACAAAGCATCCCTTAAAGACCATCCCACCTCTTGTTCACACACATCCCACAGCCAAACATAAAGTAGCAACAGTACTCAGAATGGAATCAAGCAGAATAAAACGCACCAAGGGTGCTTCTCATAACATTCACCCAGGGAAGTGAAATGTAAAGGAACACTCATCCCAGCCAACATCCTCTCCAAGGATTTTGTCAAAGACTGAGATCTTAGAATCGGTGGGAGGAAAATGTCTTTTCCTCTATTTTGCCAAGACACGATCACCTTCATCTCATCATTTGCTTTCCTTTCCAGGGACTAAAGACATGTGGAGAGCCTACTCTGACATGAGAGAAGCCAATTACAAAGGTGCAGACAAATACTTCCACGCCCGGGGGAACTATGATGCCGCACAGAGGGGACCTGGGGGCGCTTGGGCGGCCAAAGTGATCAGGTAACACGGGCTCCTGGGGATGCAGGGCTGGGTGAGCTGAGCCTGGCTGCCTTGGACAGTCAGGAGGGGCCAAGCCCTGGAGAAGTCTCCTATAGACACTGTGGCTCCTCCTTCTCTTGCCCACCCTCCCCTCTGCGCCCAGTGTTGGCGTGAGTGGCTGATGGAGTCAGAGCAAGGCCAGTGGCAACGGGTGATTCCCGACCCTCCCCCTATGGGTGCTGTTCACCCAGTAAGGGATGAGCCTAGGCTGAGATGCTGTTTCTGGGCCGGGGGGGTCGGGTCAGTGTTTTATTTCCTCTTTCCTTGGCTCCAGTCAGCTCTCCCTTGCAAAGAAGAGAGATGGGGGAAGGGGCTATTCCTCATCAGCTCCCTAACTGATCTCCTACCTGCCTTCCTCCATTCCAGCAACGCCAGAGAGAATTCTCAGAGAGTCACAGACTTTTTCAGGCACGGAAGCAGCGGCCACGGAGCAGAGGACTCGAAGGCTGACCAGGCCGCCAATGAATGGGGCCGGAGCGGCAAAGACCCCAACCACTTTCGACCTGCTGGCCTGCCTGACAAGTACTGAGCTTCCTCTTTGCTCTGCACTCAGGAGAGAGGCTGCGAGCCCTCTGAGGGCAGGGACACGGAGTCATTGAGTTCTCTGTCCACAGAGGCTGATGGAGGGCACCTGACAGGTGTCTAATAAATGCTTAAGAGATTGTTGGAAAGTGTGTGTTATTCTTTGATGTAAGGACTGTTCGTTCGTTCTCAGGGGTGATGGATGGACACCCAGGTGCAGGCCGGGCCTGTGCCCGTGAGGTTGGTGTGGGGGAGACCATGTCAGTGTCACACAGGGCAGACGCCCTGCACCCACCCTTCCCGGATCTGACCTGCTGCCCTGTCCAGCCCCTTCTGCTTACCCTAGTGCTCTCTCCAGGTCCCTCCGTGTCCACACCCCTCTCTCCTGCCAATCGTGTCCTGTCTCCTTCTCTGTCCTCAGCTTCCAGTTCCCTTTGATTTGTTCCTCAGTGGTACCTGTCCCTGGGGGCAGGAGACACAGCCATGGGAGGATGCGACTATGGAATCCTTCTCTGGCCACGGCCACCTTGACCTTGTGTTGCTGCTGCTGCTGTTGTTGTTTTTTACATTTCTGTAAGTTTATTTATTTTTGAGAGAGAGAGAGAGAGCAGGAGGAGAGGCAGAGAGAGAGAGAGAGAGAGAGAGAGACGAAATGAAGCAGGCTCTAGGCTCTGAGCTGTTGGCGCAAGCCCTATGCAGGGCTCCCACTGACAAACCGAGAAATCAGAAGGTGAGCAAAGTCAGACGCTTAAGAGACTGAGCCACCCAGATGCCCTTTTCCTGACCATTTTATAATGCGTCCTTCCCATGTGACACTGTATCACATGTCTAGACTGCAGTTCCTCGGTTGTAACCTGCCATTAGGAGCTTCCGTAGCAACTGATCAGGGTCGAGTCCACCCACTGGGTGCTGGAAGCTCCATTTTCCTGGTTGTCCATCCTTCCACTCCAATCCCTGCTCCCTGAGAGGAGGAGGAGAGAGAGCAAGAGAGATGAAATCAAAGCGGGCTCTAGGCTCCAAGCTGTTGGCACAGAGCCCAAAGCAGCACGCCCACTCACACACCGTGAGATCGGGAGGTGAGCAAAAGTCAGACGCTTAACTGACTGAGCCACCCGGGTGCCCTTGTGTTGGTTTCTCAGCAGCGCCTTCAAATCTGATTAAAACCAGTTGTGTCCATGCCATCTAAGACTTGTGTCCAAAGCAGTTTTTCTCTGCGTCACCTCACTGCCTCAGTCAAGCCTAAATGAAGGCATCAATCCACCTCACTTGTGATTCTTCCCTCACAGCTCCTGCACCTTAACCAGTCGAATTGGGGAAATTCTAGTGAAGAGCCAGCAGAACGAGAAGACCCCTCTTATCAGTTGAGCGGAATCAGGAGACAGAAACCAGTTAGTAACTGGAGTTGGGAAATTATAATGTAAGGAATTCTTAACTGGTACACGATTCAATACTAAGTGGCACAGAACACGCAAAGCGCAGATGTAGATTTGTTGGAAATCCTGCAGCCCGTTGGACGGCTGATAAAGACTGCTGGGTGTCCCAAGCCAAAGCTGACAAGCAAGGACTCTCCCACTGAGGTGCCAAGGGTACTTGGCAGGAAACCGCGTGGACATGCAGCTGAACTGGGACACAGCGGGGGATGTCGCAAACTCACGGGAGGCAGCCCCCATGGGGGCAGGAGGGACAATGCTGCTGATGGCCCAAGGCCAGCCCTGAAGGGCCAGTGCCGCGGATTGAATTGCATCCCCCACGCATCAAATTCCTATGTTGAAGCCTTTACTCCCAATGTGGCTATAAGGAAGTAACTAAGGATAAATAAGTCAGAAGTGTGGAACCTGGTCAGATAGGATTAATGTATTTGTAATATCAGATACCAGAGATCTTGCTCCCTCTTTTCTGCCCTGTGAGGACACAGCTACAAGGTGTCTGTCCATCTGCCATCCAAGAAGAGAGCGCCCACCAAGCACCAAATTAGTTTGCACCTTGATCTTGGACTTCCCAGCTCCCACAAATATGAGAACTACATTTCTGTGGTTTAAGTCACTCAGTCTGTGGTATATGGTTAGGCAGCCCCCCCAACACAGGCAAAGTGCTATAGAACACCCTGGACGTCCAGGGAGGCATCCCGGAACTTGTCCAGAAACTTCAGTGGGATACCAACAAAACTGCCTGTGGTGAGTGTCACTGGGTACCCCGCAGTTGAGAAGAGCAGCCCAGGAGCTAGAAGGAGGCAAAGCTCAGGCCTGGGAGAGTCTTTCTTTCCCGTTCGTCCCTCCCGCGCCCTCTACTGACAACGACTGGCATCGTGCTTGGCTGGCACAGGAGAAGTAGAACAGGGACCAGCTCCAGTATCACAAACAGGGCAAAGGAAGGCGGATATGAAGCTCGAATACATAAATTGATAACTGCAATGCGACTCGTCTCTGAAAAGGGAACTGATGAGAATTCCTAATGGATGAGGGTCAATGACAAATCTCATTCATTGTTAAATAAAAGTGTGGCTAGGAAGCAGTTAGTCCCAAGAGACTTCTGGTGCCCCTCAGAAAGCACTAGGGGCAGTGCAGGTGGAGGAGGTGTGGGAGGCTTGAGGCCTAGTGCAACACGAGTGAGTCTACGTCAAAATGAGGCAGGAGCAGGAGGAAGAGGTGAAGGCCACAGTATGGCCACTGGCTAGTGACAGCAGCCTCCACATGCTGGGGAGATGGGTGTGCAGTGTGTCCAGCCTGAAAGGACCTAATGAGATGTACGGGCTGTTATTACCCCTGTTTACCCTTTATTTACTCCTTCCTCAACGCTGGCCCTTTCTTCCTGCGGATCTCAGTGTTTATTTTACTTCTCTCTAAAGAGCTTCTAACATTTTTTCAAGGCAGGTGTATGCCAACAACCCCCCTCACCTTTCTTTTTTAAATTTTTAAATGTTTGTGTAGTATTGAGAGGGAGAGAGAGAGAGAGAGAGAGCAAGGGAGAATGAATGGGGGAGGGGCAGAGGGAGACAGGGACCCAGGATCCAAAGAGGGCTCCGTGCTGACAGCAGATCTCAAACCCGCAAGCCACAAGACCACGACCCGAGCCGAAGTCAGACGCTTCACCAGCTGAGTCACTCAAGCACCCTGTACCTCACCTTTTTCTTTTTTGAGAAAGTCTTTATTTCTCATTCATTTTGTAGGATAACTACACAGCGTACAGAATGTATGTTGGTGGTTTTTTTATTCCCTCCAAACACGTTAAATAGTTCACTCCACTCTCTTCTCGCTTGTACACACTAAAGATAAAGTGGAGGAGACAAAAGATGCATCAAAGTCAAGGGGAAGCGGGAGGGGGTGGGGTCAAGCCCACAGGGTGGTAACCCCGAAGGGAGAAGAAACATCTTGTGCTCTGAGAAGGAAGAAAGGTGACAAGAGGCGGGCAGCACACTTGAGATGGAGGACAGGGACCTCAGGAACTCAGCTGTACCTGCTCCTGCTGTACCCCAACCCCAGGACTCATCGTGCTCGACCGTGCTTGTCTGTGGATGTGTCTGTCTTTAGGGCAAGCAGGTAGGAATCCCAAGAGCAAAAACCATGGCTCTCCTATTGTATGTCAGCCTTGTATCCACAGTACCTGTCATAGCACCTGGCAAATAGGAGTGGATTAATACATTTCTGTTGAAATGAATGAATGATGTAGAGAAGTAGTGTTCAAAAGTAGCCAGAACCAGGAGGGAGGTTGGGATTGTACAAAGTACAGAGGTTTGCTACAGGGTTTGATATGCAGAATGTGGCAATGAGGCACTCGGAGGTGACTACGTAAATCTACCCCAAAATCTCTGCTAAGATACACAAAGAATGACCAAATTTTACTTTATCACAGAAAATATGTAACTTTCTCTAGGAGTGCTTTGTGCTCTCTGTCTCATAGAAATGCAAATTAGAAACCTCAAGTGTACATAAATTCTTAGTAGGGTTTCTGAGGAGAAGCCTTGGGAGAAAGCAATACATACTTTAAACTTCCAGAGTAACTTGAGGGTCAGGTTAGCAGAGAGCACTCTGTGAGAACAGAGGAGATGAAAAGGCACGCTGCATTTCTCTGAGTGCAAGACACCATGGATTGAAAGAAGCATTATTTTTTATCACCCACCAAGAAAAAAGTGTTGTTAATTAAGTCACGATGTAGCATTTTTTCTTATCATTCACCATTCTTATTTTATACCTATTGAAAGAGACCCTTTGGACCTCCTTAGGCGCACATTTATATCTTCTCTCACTCTTGTGTAGAAGCAAAAAAGGGGAAAAAAAATACACAAAACGGATTCCTAAAGCAATGACAACTATTTTATGAATGCTGCCTGGTCATCAGTGACTGTAAGACATGTCCTAATTTCAGGAAATTATACTCAAGAAATGCATATCTTAGAAATAATGAAATATGCCAATACCATTTAAGCCTATACAGGTTTGCTCTCATTACATTGACTAGGAAGAAGTAATAGGCTTTACTTATTGTTAATCTCAAAGTGTGCCGCCAGTGTCCCTGAGGTGAAGTTCAGCTCTACACCGGCACCCCCAGCCATGCAGGACCTCCCCCAAGAGGTGCTGGTGTATCCACCACTGGGCCTGACAGTGGCCCATGTTCCAAGCCCCTCTCTAGGAAAGGTGTTGCCTCAGCTGGCCCAGTCACTGCCTTTCCTCTAACCTCAGTGGTCTTCCCGGCAGACCCCCAGAGCACCGAGGGCCTCTTCCCCTCCTGCCCAG